CTGATGGTTGGCTTCGCCACTTTTGCCCTCCTCAGGGCTCCAGCCGAGGTGATTTTTTTCCTTTGACGTGCCTTGAGTCATCTCCAGCGAGGCAGAGGAGTCGGGCAACACTTCCAAAGGGTTGAGACTTGATGGCAATTGATGATCCTGAGGCTTGGACATCATTGGTTCCTGTTCTAGCATTTGTTATAGAAAAGTCACAATATAAAATCAAAACCTACTTCAAGTAAGCATCTGAGCAGGAGGTGACAACAGAAAATGTATGTCCCCTCAAGATGACATACACTGGCAGTCTCAGCTTCCTCGGAGCCCAGGCAGAAGGAACAAAGGAAGGAAGGAAATCTATGTCCCTGGTAAAGGAAACAGCAAGGAAGCCTTTCTGCAAACATACAGCATGCGATTCCAAATCCACCAGGAGCCAGAGAGTGGTTCTGTGATAGCTCAAGAGCCGGAACCCGAGGCAAGAGACACTGAATTAAAACTCACCTTCTGGTCTGGTTGCTGACGTCATCCTGGATGGAGAGATGAAAACAGGAAGATGAGGGGGTCCGTTCTTCACGGTCCAGCTCCAGGGAGCTCGTGCTTGAACTGCCCTCACTTGCCTCCTCCAAGACTATCAGCAGGGGTCACTGCCAGCTCTCCTGAATAACTTACTACATATAATCTATCTTAGCTCCCGGTCGCTTGGTAATTCACTAGCTCCTAATCCCATCTATTAGGATCTACTTTGTTTTCCAAACTAGAAAACAGACAAACAACACAACTCCACATCATCTCTTCTTATTCTCTCCAAATCCTTCCATTCCTGGAAATTCTACTTTTTAATCTCTGCACACATCTGTCCTTCCACCCATAAAAAAAGACTCATCCTTTTTTAACATAGTTTAAATTTGAAGTCATTTCTCTTCAGCAGATTTGATGGCCACGAATCTCTTCTCTACAGTACTGGCTGTAAAATATATTTACATGTCTGTCTTCCCAGCCAGACAGCACCGCATTCCCAGTACCTGTCAGAGACAACTGACCCAAAGAGAGGCAGGGACACAACCTGGCATCTCTCTATCTTGTATGTATCTCTCCCTTCCCAAAGACATCTGAATGTGGGGGGAGTTTGGAAACGAAAAACACAAATGGATACTGAGGGACCATGCTGAAAGAACAAAGAGTCCTTCAAGGATCTAAATCCCCACAATCCTTACGACAGATACGCTTCACAACTCTTGAGTACTATCAGGAGGCCCAGGCCTGGGGCACAGGAGCAATGCAAGTCGGGCTGAGACCCAGCCCTCTGCCCAGTCCGCAACCACAATCTGGAGTTGGGGTCGCCGCTGTGCCCGGGAGAGAGTGGCCTTCCCTCCGTAGTCCTAACGCTAGGAAGTCTCCGAGGGCCTGCGGCTGGGAGCGCCGGGAGGCCGGGAGCGCGGGGTGGGCCGGGCCGAGAGGCGGGTCAGGGGAGAAACGAGCCACATCCGGGGAGACGTCTGCGACTTCCGACCCCAAAGCGACGCCCGTCCAGCCCGGAACCCCCGCCCCCGTCCCTAAAACACAAAGTCACCTCTGAAAACTCCGCGTCACCGCAGAGGATCCTCTCCCCGCGTTCGTACAGTCCTCGGTGCCGCGCCGCCGCCGCTACTTACAAATTTCCCGCCACACAACTGCGCGTGCGTAGCCAGCGGCTTATGAGTTCGAGCGTCCGACCGTGCCTCCGGCAGAGCGCATGCGCACTCCGGTGTTCCATGCTCTGGCCCAGCCCATCTTGTCCCTAATAGTTCTGTCCAATTACGGTCACCATCTCTGCAGCAGCATCTTGCCCGGGGATTGCCTTCTCCAGTGCACCGCTTTGAAGACCTTTCCTGCCATACAGCCGACCCACGGAAGTCAGGGAGTCTGGTGCGGTACCCGTTCTTGGGCCATGGCTACCTATCTATCTTTTTCACGCCGAAAGTGTGGACAGTGACTTTCTCCAGGGACACCTGGAACTCTGAGCTCAGTTTGTCCCTGCCTACTTACTCCTGCTCCACGGGCCCCTTCCATGGTCCTTTAAGTACACAACAAAGTTCGAGCACACTTTATACCAGCCTCATCACAGGCTACCCCATGCCAATTCTTGCCCCGCTCCTTTGTTCGAACAGGCACTTTTCCTGTAAAGCCTTTCTCTTTCCCTTCTAGCCTTCTCTTCCATGTTGAAGGCCAGATGTTCTATGCTCCCAGGAACCCAACCCGTGCCTACTTCACCGTCCTTTGCCTGGGAAGCTCCACAAAGCGGGCTGATTCCTCAAGACAAGACACTGAGTCATCAGAATGGCCCCATGCATCAAAGAAGTGATTTCTTTCTGATCTGAACCTTATAAATGCTGAATAGAGAGCAGTAAGAAAGATCCCAAAGGGCCAGGTGTGGCAGCAGCACATGCTTTTAATCCCAGCACTGGGAAGGCAGTGGCAGGCACATCTCTGAGTCTGAGGCCTGGCTGGTCTACACAGAGAGCGCCAGACTAGCCAAAGCTACTTAGTGAGACCCTGTCCCTAACAAAAGCAAAACAAAAACCAAAAAGCCTTGGGAGCTGTCCCGATTCAGTGCTGACAAGATTAGAAGCAATTCTCCCCTATTTCTATAAATATACTTTGTTAAGTTTTGAACGATGTTGTTCTTGAAAATGTGTGCCTATGTTTATCACCTTATAGTTTTGTAAAGACAGAATGTACCTGGCTCAATATTTGGTCAAGTTAGCAAAACAAGTGTTTCCAGTTTAAAAGATGTTTTGATGTAAAAGTTGGGGGGGGGAGAATCCATATTTATTTTTGCTGAAGGTTAACGTCAGAGAGTGGGGAAAACGTGTTTGTTAGTATGGAAAAACATGCTTGTTTTTGAAGCATAAATAAAGATGGCTTGAGCTGTTTGGGGCCGGCCACTTGTGTGACACTCATCCGGTTGGTGGTCAGACAATCCATTTCTTCATGCCAGTGCTTCCTCCCTTCCCCATCTGAGGACCTGAATCTAGGCTGGGCTGGGAGGGGGGCTGCAGCACCCACCTATTATATCCTCCATGCCTGGCACAGGTCTGACTGCTGTTAGCCCCCCCATAAAAGATCTCCCAAAGTAGCTGTTAGGTCTCAGGCTGTCCAAATATCCAGAAATGAGCTAAAACCGGACTATAGGAAGATTCCTGGCAGTTAAATAAAAACCAGCATTCTTTGGAAACTTGTAAAACTGGTTCCCATCTGCCTTTGGTGTCTACCAGCTACCAGCAGCAAAGCCCATGGTGCCCTGCAGGCTCCCTCACTATCAAACGTACCCATTACACACATTTCAGAGACCACACTAGCTAGCCCTTCTCCTGTCCTCCACCAGGTCGTGTTCCCACCTCCCAGCTCCTCATTCTCCTTACAGTTCACTAGTCTCTACTCTTCCGCACTTCCTTCTCTCTTACTCCTTCACCTCTATGCCCGACTCTCCATCTCCTGCTACCCTGCTGGCTGTCTCCACTATTCTCACTCACTTCCCCAGCCCTGGACATGTCCCGTCTGCTTCTTTCTCTCTGTCTCTCTCTGTCTCTCTCTCTGTCTCTGTCTCTCTCTGTCTCTCTCTCTGTCTCTCTCTCTCTCTGTCTCTCTCTGTCTCTCTCTCTCTCTCTCTGCTATGGACTCTTTCAGATGCCTCTGGCCATTTTGTCTCACATCTACAATAAAAACCTTAACCGTATCACGGAGCGATTATGTTGGCAGTTTCTTCACTGAGTCCCTCACACACAGGAGGCCACTTCCAGGATGGCCCCAGTGACCCTTTCCTGGTGTGCAATCTCTTCCTACAGTAAAGAGTGTCTGCTTAGTCCTCCTGCACTGAAAAGAGTTGGTTTTATATAACCAATAAAATACTGTAGAAATGTAACTTTTTAATCTGTTTTTTTAATCTGTTTTTAATTATTTGTTTTTATTTCATGTGCATTGGTGTTTTTGTCTGTATGAGGGTATCAGATCCGAAGTTCCAGACAGCTGTGAACTGCCATGTGGGTGCTGGGAATTGAACCTGGGTCCTCTGAGACAGCAGCCAGTGCTCTTACCACTGAGCCATCCCCCCAGCCCCCAAAATGTAACTTTTAAGCTTGGCCATAAAAGACTTTGTGATTTCTACTCTGCTCTCTCAAAGATCACTTGTCCTGAAGACAATTAGTGGCCACACTGCACGGATACACAAGCTACCCCACACGTTGAGGAACTGAGTCCTGAGAGCCAACGCTGACTTCCTGGTTTGTGAATTAGCCACCGAGGACTCTTCCAGTTCTAGACAGAAATCTGAGTAACTCAGGCTGCCTAAACCTATGGCTCTCTGGTAGAGAGCTCGCCTAACATGCATGAGACAGATCCTGGGTTCCATTCCTAGACACACAAAGGTGCAAATACTCATAGCCTAGTTGATATCGGACTGCTAGCCTCCAGAAACCATGCCTCGCTCCCCAAATCGCAGTCCACAACACTGGTAGATATGATACATTTGGGGTGATTAATTCCACTATAATGTCTAAAAGTATCTTTTCCACCATAATAAATTATTGTGTTGGGCTGGAGAGATGGCTCAGTGGTTAAGAGCATTGCCTGTTCTTCCAAAGGTCCTGAGTTCAATTCCCAGCAACCACATGGTGGCTCACAACCATCTGTAATGAGGTCTGGTGCCCTCTTCTGGCCTGCAGGCATACATGTAGACAGAATATTGTATACATAATAAATAAATATTAAATATTAAAAAATAAATTATTGTGTTATAGAAAAGCCTAATTCTCTTTTTCTGTATTTGTTTCTCAGTAGCAATGACACATTTCCTAGGAGACTTAGTTACCAGCCATGAGCCACCAGAACCCCGGATGGCCCCATCTAGGTGATTCCAAAGCAGCCAGCTGGTTTCAGTTTTCCCCTCTTAAGCAATCCCAGGTGGTATGCAGTCAGTTTTCAAATCTGCTGGGGCCCCGCCAGCCTCTTCAGGGAAAAGCAGAGAGCAGAATGCAGGCAACCATTTATATGACATACTTTATTTCCAATCTACAACTATTAAAAACACTTTGTAAGTTTACACTGTACAGTTGTCATGTCTGAAATAAGACACAGGGCGAGGAGAGCTGGTGGACTAGACTACGGTCCTCCTATCACCCAATCCATCGCAGGAAGGAGCCTTTAAAGGCAGAAAGGCAGATGGGGATAGCGGAAGGAAGAGAAGGGGGAGGAAGGGAGAATAGTGGAAAGGAGAGGTGGATAGTTGGCCCAAAGATGCCCTTGGTCCCTTCCCTCCTGAGGGGTCCCCCAGGGCCCACGACTGCAGGACCATCCCCAGGAAACCAGGCTGAGCAGGAAGGGCTTCACAGTATTGGCCAGGCAGTGGGGGGGGGGGGGGGGGCCAGGAAGAGGAAAGGCAGTTTCTAGCTCTTTCCCAAGTCCTGACTGGTTTTTGGCACTGTACCAGGTCTCCCTGGGATTGGGAGGATAAGGAGGTGTGGTGTGGGAGTGCTGATGGGGACAGGGCTTGGGATTCTCTCCTTGCAGCAAGTGTCCTTCCCTTGGGCAATGGTGGGGATCCTAAGAGAAAAGTGAAAAGGGTCCTTTTTGCCTCCTGCCTCTGGGGACTCCCCCATCCTCCTGCTTGTCTGCTGGGACCACGTATACAGATTTCCACAAAATGCAAATTTGAAGGGGATGGTGAGCTGGGCTGAAATAGAGCCAGGGAGGTAACAGGAAAGCTGCAGGGCCGTCCCCCCCATTCCAGCTTCCAAAAATAGGAGACGTCACAGTGATGTTTTATTCGGGGACAGAGGCCTTGAATCTACAAGTCTGGTTGTTTTCCATTTTTTGGCCCAGGCCAGGCCCGGGTACTACCCAAGCTGAGATGACAGCTCGTCTAGACCAACAACCTTGTAGTTGTTGACAAACTTGTCTGTATCAGAATGACCCGGAGGCTCTTTCAAACCCTAACTTCCTGGGCCTGCTTCCATGGGTCTTGGATGCAGCCAACAATCTGCACTTCTGCCACCTTTCCTGGTGACGCTCTACTACCGGGACAGAGTTTGAGAGACACTAATCCTCAGAAATACTCCCAGTTGCCTTGGCAACCTGGTACTCCTATGGCAAGACTTGATGGCAAGGCCCAGCTGTAGAGGTACAAAGAGGTCTAGACAGATGCTGGGAAAGAGGTGGTGGGTGAGCCCCCCTGTGCAGAGAAGTAAAATAAGGCACAGAGAATCGAAGGCAGGGCCCAGAGGATCCAGTGGAGGTCGTAGGATCCCAAAACAAAGGATGTTTGAAGCCTATAGGGTCATTCTGGTGTTCTGGGAGAACCATAAAACCGGGCGCTCAAACTTGGGTTTCCAAGACTGCTAGCTGAGGTCTCTCTTCCCAGAGGTGGCATAGGTGGCTTTGGATGTGGTGTGACAAGGACTCCAGACCCTGACTGCCTCAGTCCTTCCAAGATAGCAGAGGAAACCAAAGACTCTTCCCTTAGGTCCAGGGAGCAAGTGAAGGCAAGAAGGGGGAACAGGGTCAGTGGGGTAGACAAAGGGATGCAAAGGCTCCCAGGAGGGTGAGGAAGGAAAGTGGTCAGATGACAGAGGAGCCCTGAGCAGGGACTGTGGCCCAGTATCATGTCCTCAGTCCCCTTTCATGGGTCTGGGGATTCTGCAAACTGCGAAATCTGTTGCTTCAGGTGGGTGAGGTTCTGCCAACGTGAGCTGATCTGGAGGAGGTGAAGGGCAGGGGAGAACAGATGGGACGGACAGAGACAAAACCAAAGAGAAGTCAAATTTCCCCTGCTTTATACCAAGGTCACCAAGAGTGGGCAGGACAGAGAAGACCCAAAGGTCCACCTCACATCCTCCCAGCGGAAGGTGACACAGCTATATTGGGAGAAGCAGGGAAGACAGGAAGCAGAGAGCGGGGTGGGACTGGGGGTGTTCCAGGCTGGGAGGTTGCTGGAGTGGGGTGAGTCTGACGAGAAGGGCTGGAGGAGATGGTGATGGTGATGCACAGAACAAAGGGGATCCCTCAGGAAAAATGCAAAATAAACACAAGACTGGATAATTCCAGATCTGAGAGCAAACCTTGGGAGAGGGACAGACTGGACATGATCCTCCCCTGAGGGGGTGGGGGTGTGAGTTTGTAGGGCTAGGGAGGAGATGGCCAAGGTCAGACAAAAGTCCATACAGAAGAGGGAAGAGTGTACCAGAGGACATGGGAGGGCTGAGGGCTGGCCTTGTAAAAATCCCAGGGTCCCAGAGAAGAAAACCTGGTCCTAGGTTATAGGACCACTTCATCTGGTGGCAGAAACCCAGCCAGGAAGTAGTGGCAGGAAGAGATGATACTATAGAGCTGATGATATGGATGATGATAAAGGAGGGGGTGGGGTGAGGGGGGAAGATGCAGATTCAGCCAAGACCTCAGAGCATGCTTCATGCACACTGTAGAAAATCTTCTGAGAGCCAGGAGCTGGTAGCTGGTAGCCACCTCCACCTATGCCTTGCTGTGAGGCCTTGGGCAAGCCACTCCCTTCTCCACAAGTAAAACGTGAAAGGGTGAGACACAATGGATAAATGTTGGATTCTGCCTACACAAGTACCTAAAACAGGCCAGTGTAAAAAGGAAGGAAATAGAGCAGAGGTCATCCAGCCCTGGGGCAAGGGTGGGAATTATTGTCTATGGGTCAGTTATTAATTATTATGAGGGGGTGAAATTTCGGTTTGGGACCAAGAAAAAGTTCTGGAGCTAGTAGTGGTGACACAATACCGTGAATGTCCATAAAAGACACTATGGCCAGGGGTTGTGGCTAATGCCAACGCAGATGGACAGGAAGATCAGAAGTTCAAGTCACCCTGGGCTACACAGTGAGTTGGAGGCCAGCTGATGATACAGGAGACCCTGTCTCTAAATAAAAATATTTTTTTAAAAAGCCTGTTAGGCATTGAAGATGTGTCTCAGTGGTCAAGTGCTTCTCTCATATGCTGGGTCTCATTCCTAGCATGTGTACACACACACACACACACACACACACACACACACACACACTTAAACAGACTACAGTAGCATTTTAAAATGTGAGCATGATGACTGAGATTCTCTTGTGGTCCCTTCTATTTATTTTAAGGCCAATGAGAGAAGGAGGTATACACCACCACCAGAGCCAGGGCACCGAGCGCCTCGATGCCTCTGAAAGCACTCAGTTTCACTTCAGATTTGATAGAATGCCAGCTTTTCTCAGGAGACGAACGGGCATGATATATTTGGTCTTTGGCATAGCCACCACTCTGTGGCTGGGGAAATTGAGGCATAGACTAGCTATGTGATCTGGCTGAGGTCATTCAAGTTGATGGCAGTTTATTATTCTGTAAAACAGTCACCCGGAAAACAAGCTTTGTCTTGGGCAAACCAAGCAGCTCCTCGGTCTTCGAGGAAAGAACTCACGCTTCCACATCAGTCTGTCTCTGAGCAAACACGCTTGCCTCACATGACAGATGGCTGGAAACGATAAAGGCCTGATATGCTTCTCGTCTTACCGTGACTGCCAGGGAACTCAAGAATGAAATTTAAGGCTGTGGATGGTGCCACACGCCTATTAATCGTTAATTCATTAAACTTGGGAGGCAGAGGCAGGAGAATTACAAGTTTAAGGTCAAAATAGCAATTTCCAGATCTGCCAGGGATACATAGCATGATCATGTCTGAAAACAAAAACAGACAAACAAAAAGTAAGGGGGTGCGGTATAACTTAAATTGTGTAATTATGGGGATTATAGTGGGTAGATTGGGGAAAGATTTTCTTTTTCTTTTTTCCTATGCTAGGCAAGTGCTCTACTACTGACATACATGTCCCCAGTCCTCACCCTTTGATTTTCTCATTTTCTTTGTTTTTCAATACTAGGGAAAGAACCCAGGGCCTCACACATGCAAAGCAAGCATCTACCACTGAGCTACCCAGCACTTTCTAAAATCTTCATTTTGAGACAAGGCCTCAGAAAACTGCCCAGGCTGACCATGAACTCACTCTTTAGCCTAAGCAGGCTTTGAACCTGATCCTCCTGCTTCAGCCTCCTGAGTAGCTACAATGAAAGGGCTGTGCCGCCATCAGCCTCAACACTTCTAGCTTGGTTATTTCACGAAACATGTGACTAAGGTGAAAGACTGTTTTTGCTGCCTGTTGGAAACCCTTGGCAATTTACCTAAAGCTGAGTTTGGCTGAGACACCCCCGTCCCCAGTGCTCAGGGCTCTTGTCAAGGACCTAGCACCGTGAGCACTGGCTCACCATGTATCAGCTGGGAATGGCTGGACCCGTGAGTGTAAACACCAGTCACTGGTGCATATGGATCTCCCAGAGAGCTAACCCCAAAGGTTCAGAGAGTTGCAAGTCTTGCTTCTGGGTCCGGCAGTGGCAAATCTGGGATGCCCTGACCCTAGCCAGCGTCCCAGTGAGTTTGTACATAAAGCAGGCGAGAGTCCCACTGTAAGGCAGATATCTTCCTGGTTCCAGGCTCCTGCATGAGAACTGTAGAATGAGATACTAAACCCTGGCCTGTCAAAAAGCCTCTTAAGAGCTGCCCTTGAGCAGTGGTGATGCACGCCTTTAATCCCAGCACTCTGGAGGCAGAGGCTGGTGGGGGAAGGGCCTCTGGGCAAGAGACAAAGCTGAGGGACTGATGCACAGGGAGTGGCATAGTGGTGTCCAGAAGGTCAAGTTTTTTGAGAGCTTTTGTCACCTGGAGGCCAGCTGGTAGACGAACATCACTGGAGAGGCCAAGAGATAGGGCCCAATTTGAGCTCCTGGAGAACAAGCCTTGGTAGGATAAGGACGGGGAGGAAGGCTACAGGGCAAAGGGAAATGGATTCTCCTTGTTCAGTCAGGGGGTCTCAAGGGCTCTGAATTTCATTTCAAAACCCATCACCATTGCCTCCAAGACAGTCTAATTTGGTTTATCCCCAGGAAGATGTGAGACATAGATTAGTGTCAATCATGCAATTCACCCTCATGCCCCCAGCCCATCTGTGTCAACCCTGTGGGCCCAAGCCAGGCAATCTATTAGAGGACTAGGGCCCCAAGGTTCCTTTGGGACACAGGGAGAGGGAGAGGGAGAGGGAGAGGGAGAGGGAGAAGGAGAGAGAGAGAGAGAGAGAAGGAGAGGGAGGGAGAGGGAGAGAGAGGGAGAGAGAGAGAGAGAGAGGGAGAGAGAGAGAGGAAAAGGAAGTAGAGGGCTGAAGGAAAAGGAGAAAAATGGAGGTGAACAGAAGGAGGATGGATTGGGGGGAAGGGTGTTGCTCCTTCCCATGACCCCGGGCCTCCAGGGGAGTACCCCATGTAGGCCAGGCAGTTTTCTGCTTTGGGAATGTTACTAAGACATAAAAGGCATTTGAAGAAACAAACTTAGAAATTACATTTCAAAAGAGTAGAGAGATTTACAAACCAACCCTTCCACCCCCCAAAAGAAAACAGAACCAGTTACCAAGTAAAATGCTAAAGATCAAACCAAACCAATATTTACATGTAACATTTTCAACCCCATCGAGCCCTGTGTTCGGAGGCTTCGATTGGGACAATGACAGGTGGCCTTGCACAGTGGCAAGCAAGAATTAGAAACAGGGACTGAAAACCAAGACTTGGAGCTTGCAACACCTGCTGGGGGCCGTGGGGGCCAGGTGCTGAGACAGTGGGAATGCACGACAACCCAGATGGGACAGATGGTAAGGCTGAGTGGCCCCTAAGCCCTGGGGTTCAGGTCTAGGGGGCTTTTCTTCAAGACTCCCTGGCTCTCAGCAGCTCTGGGAGGTGGCAGAAGGCCTCTGGTGGCTTGTGGCCTGATGTGGTCCCCTCAGCTGGAGATAACCTTAGAGGGGCCTCTGACCTCTTGGAGGAGAGCAGGAGCATCCTGGAAGGACCTGGCCCATGGTCCACCGGCCTGCTGACTCTGCCCGTGCAAGTCATTAGGACACGAGGCAACAGCTGGTGTGAGGGACTGACCCTGCTATACTGCCCATAGGGAATGGGGTCGAGGGGCTTTGGGTAACTGTTCCAGGTGTCCCTAAAGAGGTAGCCTGGAAACCGGAGGCAGGAGAGCAGAGGCATCTCCCTGGTCCTGGGGGAAACTACCTCTGCAGTTGGCTCTCTGCCTTCCTGATGGGGAACTCTGCACAGAAGCCAATTCATCCTCGGATGAGTCCGAATCCCCAGCCAGGAAGAAGAGGGCAGCGCGTCATTGGCACCAAGGGGAGGCAGGTGAGCTCACTCTACTACAGTTCGAGTTACACTGGTGTGGCTCAGGCGACTCCTGGGGGTGTGGGAAGGACAGGCAGTAGAGCTGGGGCTAGAAGAAGAGCCATGAGTGGCTATAAGGCTAAGAGAAGGGCTGGTGAACAGGCTGGCAGGCTGGTAGACACTCTCAGATCCATGTGCAAAGCTGCAATAGAGAACATTCTAGAAGTCCATCCTGTTTTCCTGCGAGTTCTTACACGGGCGCACGGAGGGGGTCGCTGTGCTCGGAAGAGAGCTGCAGTCATCTACGTCTGACTTGTGAGGAAAGGTGCTGGAGGGCCGGGAGGGATGCGAGGGATCATGAAGGATGTCTGCGGAGTGATGACATCATTCTGGCCTACACCGTGTCTGAAGCATTCACAAGCTGGCCTGTAGCGGTCAGGCCAAGTACCGGGTGATGAGTAAAACGTAGCCATCTGAGACTAAATGGCCAGTGGTATTGGGGGAACAAGGTGCAGAGCCCCAGTTCTGCCAAGGGGCCCTTCTGATGAAACCAGGCCATCTGAGCCTGGTGCTGAGCTGCCTCAACCACATGGGGGACTCCATGGTGTCATAAGCCCCATGTTGTCCCTGTGGCAAGAATACCTCTAATAAATTACCTTAAGGGCTGGGGGGGGGGCAGTAAGTTAAATTATTAAAATAAATCACCTTAAATATTTATAGTATGAAAAATTCAAATAAACAATCTAGGCAAGAAATGTTTGTAGGCCCTTGTCTCGGGCTGTGTCATGGGCCACTGGCCTCTTGGTGCTCTCTGGCCTGACCTGAACAACAGATTCTTTCCCAGGGAGCATCTCTGCCCTCTCCTTGATGCAGGATTGTGGCACCCATCTCTGCTACCAAGAAAGAGGCCCTAGGGAATCAAGGCAAGGCATGTAGGCTTTTACCTCTGCATCAGGTGTTGAGAGGGACCCTACCCATTTCTGTTCTCAAGGAGTCTGCTATGCAAGTTGGGCCTTCAAGTCACCTTGACTAGGGAGTCAGCTCTTCTGACCTCCAACTGGAACCTGACACACTCTTACCTGCCCCCAGCTCTTGCTACGTGGAGGTACAGGCAGGGGGATCCAGGGCTCCAGGATTCCAAGTTGACTTGGTTCTGCTCTATCATATCCCCCTTCCCTGCTCCAAGAAGGCCCAGCAACCTGATCAGCAAAGCTGGGAGGAGGAAAGAAGGAGCGATGGCCACACTGCCCAGCCCAGCTCTTTCAAGAGCGTCAAGCTGGGCCCCAAGCAGAGCCCCAATCTTCTCAGTGGCTTCTCCACATGCGGTCAGTAGGGAGTATCTCTGTGAGCCACACTCCTGGGGATTGCCCAGAAATGCCTCCTTTTCTGGATCCTAAGGAGTGATGTGGGTGGTGCCAGCCCCCTTCAGGATCCAGAGGTGACGTGCGGTGTTCTTCAGGTGCTTGGGAAGCCCAGTCCTGATCACCCAGGTTGTTCTTTTCTCCTCCTCACTGCCTTCCCCTGGAAATCAGAGGTCACCTCCCAGCAGTCAGTGGGACACCCTGCTTTACCTTGAAAAGCTCTTCTCTGGCAGTGGCATAGCTGCTGTTCCTCCCAGGCAGAGCGAGGCTGAGGACGTGATCCTTTGCCTCATCTCCAGGGTCTAGGCTGCTTGAGGCGGGGAGCTTGGCTGCTCTGTGACTCATTGGGGGGCTGCCCTCTCCTCCCCGCCCCAGCCTGATTCTGAAGGATGCAGCCTGCACTTGGAAGGAGAGTGTCGGATGGTGTTGCGGGATGGCCGGACGAAGCAGGAGGCCAGAGACTGGGCACTACAGTCACAAACAGCATCCTGGAAAGAGACAGGGAAGAGGTCAGAGCAGCCCAAGGTGCTGGCTGCAGCCACCCAGGAGCCGGGACTCAGCCATGTCTCACACTGCTTCCCAGGGGCTGCAACCCTGTTCTAGACCAATCTTAACATGTTATTCCTATTAGGGCAGCAATGGATCCTCATTCTAATAAAGTCTGGAAGACACAGAGAAGAAAGCAGACATTATCCATGGTTCTACACATGTATACACCAGCCTCATCCCCAAAGTTTATATTTTTGCATTTGCAAAATACAAACCCTTCTCTGCCACTGCGAATATCTAGGCTTCTGTTGGTTTGTTTTGCTGTCATTTTTACTGTGTTTGGGCTTGCATGTGTGTCTGTGCACCATATGTATACAGTGCCCACAGAGTCCAGAAGAAGATCCCCTAGAACTGAAGTTATACACAGCATGTGAGTGCTGGGAATCGAACCCAGGTCCTCAGGAAGAGCAGTCAGTGTTCTTAACTGCTGAACATTTCTCCAGCCTCTGGGTCTCTGTTTTAATGGCTCATTTATACTCTACTGAATGGAAATAATTATCTTCCAATTCGCTCCCCACCCCCCAACCCCATCATTAGAGATGGAACCTAGGGCCTTTAGCAGGCCAGGCAGGTGCTCGACCACTCGGTGACATCCTCAGCTCCAATTTACTTTTCTGTTTGCTTCTTTGTGATAGTCACACAATGCAGCTCCAGAGGCTTGATTTCACTACATAGCCCAGGCTGGCCTCAACTTGTGGTGTTTTTGTCTCAGCTATTCAAGTCCTGGAATTATGGGTATGTGCTCTCACATCTGGTAAATGCTTTCCTCTTCCCTGGGGAGTACTGGGTATCTAGGTAGATCCATTCTTTCTTGTTTTCAGGTTTTTTTGTTTGTCGGTTTGTTTGTTTTGAGACAAGGTTTCTCTGTGTAGCTCTGGCTGTTGACCAGGCTGGCCTCCAACTCAAAGATCCACCTGCCTCTGCCTCCCCAGTGCTGGGATTAAAGGTGTTCGCCACCATGCCAGGCTCATTCATTCTTGTAATTACCAGAACACAGAAATGGTCAAAAGCACTGCTGCTGAATCTGATTTTTCTGGTCAGTTCTGGCTCTGCACTTACTAGGCAAATGACATATCTATGAGCCTTTATCTCCTCCTCTCTGCAGCGAAAGCGGGTTGTGTTTCTCAGTGCTGTGAGGGTCAAATCAAACACAGCATGTAAGTGGAACGGCACAGTACCCGCTGTGCACTCGACAAGGCTAAACGACACATCGACACATTCCCTTTTCCTTTCTTTCTCTTTGGAAGTGTTGGGAATTGAACTCAGGGCTTCCTGTGTGCTAGGCAAGTGGTTCTACCATCAAACCACACTCTAGTCCTCTACTGTTGCTGCTTTCTTTCTTTTTTAAAAAATGATGTATTTATTTACATGTGTCTGAATGTTTTGCCTTCTGTATGTAAATGCACCATGTGTGTGCAGTGCCCAGAGGCCAGAAGAGGGCATAGGATCTCCTGGAACTGGAGTTATAGGCAGTTCTGAGCCATTGAGTAAGTACTGAGACCTGAACCCAGTTCCTCTGCAAGAGCAGTAAATGCTCAAAGCTGGGCCAGCTCCCTGGCCTCACACTGTTTTCTTACTGTGTTGGTTTTATGGACATGATGCTGCTGTTGTTTTGCTTTTTGAGACAAAGTCTCACTATGTAGGCCTGACTGGTCTGGAACCTGCCATGTAGATCAGGCTGGTCTCGAACTGATAGAGGCCCTCCTGTCTCTGTCTCCAAAATGCTGGGATTAAAAGTGTGTGCCAGCCACCACTTTTGGTTTGTGATGGCTCATTCTATATCAACATGACTAAGCCACAGAGCCCTTAGACACCACGTCCAACATTATTCTGGGCATCTATGTAAGGCTAGCACAAAAGGGCTGCCTCTCCCCAGAGTAAGCGGACTCTTCATGGTTGACACCTATAGACTGGGGACACCGGATATCTTTTCCTGCTTCCACTTTTATTAATTTTAAAAACATTTACTCATTTATTTTGTATTGTGGGCTATACGTATATGCATCCGTGCAGTGGTGGTCACTTTTCCTATTCTACCTTGTGAGCTTCAGGTATCAAACCTAGATCAGCGTGCTTGGGGGCAAGCACTTTTTGCTGGTCCCTTTTCCTGCCTTTGGACTTAAACTGAAACAAGGGCACTTCCTGGCCACGAGGCTGCTGACCTTCAGAACCGGTTAAAGTATTAACTGTCCTCGTCCTCAGGCCTTGAGACTCAGACCAGATCTAAATCGTTGACCAGACCCTATGCTAGACCCTTAGAAATGAGGCTCTCTCATTCATTCTCATATTCCTCCTCCTTCTCCCCGCCCCCCTTTCCTCTCTTGAATATACTAGGACTAAACCCAGGGCCTCACACATTACTGACTTAGGTTGTACAACTGAGCTAGACCCTAATCTAGACAACCTCTTCTAGAAGACTATTTGGTGATACATCAAATGCCTTATTTGAATTAAAAGAATTTTTAAATATTCTTTTATCCTATTTCTGAAGCTCAAACTTAAACAAGACATTCAATACAGCATTCTTTATCATGGGGTGAAACTGGAAACCACCTAAACACAGAAATGGAGAAATGGACCTGCTGAGTCAGGCACAATCCCATCTATGGCCTCCTCCAGCCCTGAGTACACCGTGGGACCACCCCATCTACAGCCAAACCAACCACGGGGGTACATTTCATCCAGGTTAAGCTAATCAATTTCTTTCTCCTGAAACTACAGAACTGGGCCAGAGGGATTTGAGTCAATGTCTCTTAGGTGCTTGGATTGGAAGATATAGAACCAGAGCAGCAATGATCTACCTGATCCTTAGGCATGCGGGGGGAGTGAGTGAGAACAAGGAGAGAGAGAGCTGGAGAGATGGCTTAGCAGTTAAGAACACTTGCTGCTCATACAGAGGACCAGGGTTTGGTTCCCAGAACCCACATCAGGCACTCACAGGTGCCTGTAACTCGTTTCAGGGGCCCTGACAGTGTCCGGCCTCTGTAGGCACCTTCACACACATGATGCAAAAGGACTCAAGTGGACTCAAATATAGACACATAAATATAAAATAAATAAATCTTAAAAGAAAAAAGCCCCAGGAGACTGGAGAGATGGCTGGTTAAGCGCACTGGCTGCTCTTCCAGAGGACCTGGGTTCAATTCCCAGCATCCATATGGCAGTTAACAACTGTCTGTAACTCTAGCTCCAGGGTATCTGACACTTTTACACAGGCATACATGCAGGCCAAACATCAATGGCAAACAATAAAAACAAAATATTTAAAAAGAAACAGAAAGAAAGAGATGAGCAACAGAAGAAATCAGAGTTCAAGCAAGAGAAGAGGGAAATGCTGCGGAATTCACCAGACCCACTTCAGGGGTCCCTGAGACTCTACGATCCTGCAGAAGCCACTCCTTCCCCATCTCCAACACAAATGTAGACACATTCTTTTACTAAATTTCAAGCAATCCCTAACACAACAAAATTGGTATTAGGAGTGGGGCATGCAGCAAGACACTCTCAGAAGACTCAGACATGAAGCCTTGTTGGAGTGGGGACGGGGCAGCTGGTGAAGGGGGTTGAACCAGCCTTCTAAGAATAGGGGTGGATAAAGCTCTGACCTGGAGCTTTTGAAGCTTTTTTTCCTGTCATTTATCCTCTTGTTACAGCAATCTCAAGCTACCAAGGCACACACAAAATGCTAACAACTTAGAAGGCCAACAAGCCACTCCGTAGGCACGTCTCCTCTGGAGGTGTGCTGCAGATCTCTGCAGCACAGTGGCAAATGGTTATGCATGTCCACCCATCTCTTGGCACTAGACCTGTGTTATTCACGTCAGGTATGTTTATGCCCATCCCAGATCATATAAACCAGGTGTCATGCACAAACCTATAATCCCAGCACACTGGAGGTAAACACGAAGGGGATCAGGAGTTTAAGGTCACCCTCAGCCACACAGAAAGTTCAAGGCCAACCGGGGCTACAGGACAGTGTGACTTTAAAAAATAAAAAAGCATAACACAGCACAAAACAAAACAAGCACGTGGCCTTTCTAGGCTAATTCCCCCATCCTGATAGAAGGTTAAGCCCATCCATACCTCACTGGGAAGAATTAAGGCTCCATCTCCATCCCGAAGGGCACCATCCTTCCCCACCTGGGAAAGCATGGTGGGTCTGACCTCTTCACTACCACCTGCCTTGGTTGCCTTCTTATTCAGGATCCTGGCTACGCCCTCAGGTTGATGGTAGCTGGCAGGGGAAAGAGGTTCTGGTTTCTTGGAACTCTCATCTCCTGCTGCAGCCGTGGGGCTCGGGGCCCGTCCACACACGTTCCGGAAGAACTCCTGTACAATGCCATATTTGGGAGGTTCGGGCTTGGTTCGGGCCTCAGACATGCCCAGTTTCCAGACAGACTCCGTGCTCCCTGAGTGCTCCACCACGCTAAAAAGGCTGGACAGCCCATCGTTGATGTTCCTCAGCACCGGGCTATCCCGCGTGGTTGTGGAGCGGGCCCAGGCGGAGCCATTCTGCTTGCCTTGATGCAGGTTCCACAGGCTGCGGTCCTTGGTGCTGTCCAGCTTGGACACTGATCGCCTCTGGAGCTTGGGGGAGCCATACTTGGGCGAGCAGCATGGCCGCTCAATGCGCGAGTGGACCTTGTCCAGGGAGGAGGAGATCTGCTTGCTGCGTACTGACATGAGAGAGGAGCTGCGGGGTGACCAGCTCTTGCTATGGAGGCTGCTGCGGGGCGGGTCAGTCTGCAGGCCCACACTGACCGTCCGAATGGTCTGTGTGCCCACGCTGGCCAGGCCCACCGTCTGGCTGGACGTGCTCTTTACTTTCCTCTCCAGCGAGCCAGAGCGCATGGCCTGCCGCACACAGTTGGTGATCTCCTTCATGTCGTCGCTCATGTTGCCCGAGATCTCAAAGTCATGCAGGGCTGCCGGGAAAGCAGGTCCAGAAGCCGAGGTGTTGCCCCCAGATCCTCCATCCAGGCGCTGCCGGGAGAAGTTGCAAAGCCACCGGCTATAGGAACTCTCGGCCAGTCCATCTGCCTCGGCTGACTCCTTGGGCTTGGCTGTAGTAAAGAGGAAGCCTGGTTCAATGAGGATCTTGCCCTCCTTGTCATGGACCACAGGGACGCCCAGACGCCGGGCCACTGGGGGACTATAGTAGACTCGTATGCCCGTCTTGTCTGGAGCAGTGTAGCTGCGCTGCATCTGCCTCCCTGCAGGCTCCTGGCAGGCCAGGGTACCCACACGGCTGCAGTCCCGGGTGGAAAGCCCAGACTTTTCCTTGGCATCTTTCTCAGGCTCCACCGATTCGGTATTCACAAAGGCAAAAGCAGAGCTGTTGGGCAGCTTCTTGCTCCGGGCATCCCCACCAGCAAGGTAGGGGGAACAGTCGAGCAAACTTTCAAACTCAGACATGGAGGAAACTGATTTGGTCCTGGGAAGAGTAGAGGAAGAAAATGGGATCAATGGAAAATACCATATCAAGCATGCTAGTCTACTTTCCTGGATATGCATGTGGAGACCAAGCCTGTTTTGCCTCTCTCTGACAGACAACCTTGCTGGCACCTCCTCAAATCCTCTATACACCTACCTACATACTCAAGAGGCACGAACACTAGGACCACACTTAGCCTCTTGATAGAGGAAGCCAGAAACAGCAGTTTCAATCCCCCTGAACATAGCATACAATGGGTGGGATCTGCAGTAAGTTCCTAGCCTCCTTATATTTCAGTTGAGGTCACTCTGACTCGTTTGGCCTCTGCTGGCTCCCAGGCTCCTCAGTAATTTTGAGTTCCAGCTGCCCACTGACTAACCTGGCAGTACCTCAGATCCCCTGCCAATCATCTGAAATTCCTTTGACTCACTGTCTTCATTCCCTGTCTTATATCCAGGTAGGGTTTGCTTCCAGGGAGTCCTCTCCTGCACATGACTGGTCATTAGGGAGCTCTGGGAGCTCCAACTATCCCAGTGGGGGGGGGTGTCTCCAACTATCCCACTATAGAGAGAGGGGGGCATCTCCAACTATCCCACTATAGAGAGAGGGGGCATCTCCAACTATCCCACTATAGAGAGAGGGGGGCATCTCCAACTATCCCACTATAGAGAGAGGGGGGCATCTCCAACTATCCCAACTATAGAGAGAGGGGGGCATCTCCAACTATTCCAGTGAGGGAGGGGCATCTCCAACTATCCCACTATAGAAAGAGGGGAGCATCTCCAACTATCCCACTATGAGGGGGGCATCTCCAACTATCCCACTATAGAAAGAGGGGAGCATCTCCAACTATCCCACTATGAGGGGGGCATCTCCAACTATCCCGCTATAGAGAGGGAGGTACCCAAGGCTAGAAATGGCAGAGCTAGAATTGAAGCCTGACCTTCTCTGGCCCCAGTGGCCTCCTCTTTCTAGAATGTTCTGCATTTCCCATCATTTCTTTCATGGAGGGTTTTAGTGGTGGAGACACTATCCTTGGACGTCCCCTTGGTCGCAGCATGGGGCTGGGTTCAATGGACCCTGTCCAACAACCCCAGGAATGGATATCTACCGTGACTCAAACTCCAGGGAGGAAAAGATAATCCCCAAAGGAGCCAAACGGCTTTTTTTTTTTTTCCAGCAAGTGCAGCTGAGGCCCTTGCTTTCTGTACCCAGAATCAACATTAAACTGCACACTGAAATCTTCATAGCCCCAAGCTTTCCCATACCCGAGTGACCAGGGTCCCAGAGAGAAAACCATCTGGTGGCTCTCCCAACTCTCACAGGGACAGAAGAGGATAGACACACGGGGCAGGGGAGCGGAGAGTCAAAACCCAAGGGTCTATGGGGGAAGATGGGGGCAAGGTGAGGGGCCAGCACCTCTTTAAGGCGGTTCCCCCAAGCTCAGCTTCAGAAACACCCTCCTTGTCGTGGGTCTTCTCACTTCGTGTCTGTCAAAGGGAGAGACAAGAAGAGTCAGTTCTGGTGATCGGCGTGTGAAAGAAAGGGAAGAGTAGACCAGTGTGGGAGCTGACCAGGCCTCACATGCGGGTTCTCTCTTCCGAGTAAGAAGTGCTCAGCTGCAGTTGAAAAGGCCCGCTGGCCAGTGTCTAGACCATTGCACCTCACTCCCCTCCAGCAGTGATGTGGCCCAGGCTCAAGTTCCCGGTGGACTAAGAGGGTCCAGGGAAAGAGGGGCTGTTGGAGACTCAGATCTTATTCCATGACGGCGCTATATGGTTGATGGCATCATTATGATGGTATGCAATTTTCCCACACCAGGTCCTCAGGGTCCACGAGTTATCAGAACTGCGTCACTAGCCCTGTGAGCCCCACAAATCCAATGTCTCAGTTCCCCAGAATAGGCGTTTGCCTTCTGTAGCCCCATTTCCTGAGAAGTGTGCCTTCATGAGGCGGGAGGGGTGATGCGAAGGCCTGTATATAGCCTTTGTTACTCAGCTCTGTGTTCTATGGACAACGCCCCTGGACCTATGTGCAAATTCCTCCAGTGTGACCCTACTGACCCCACTCAGGACTAGGCCAGGGCGATGAAACAGCTTGGGCTCAGAGATGGAGAGTGTCTCACCTAAGACCACCCAGCCTGCTTTCTGCTGAAGTATAACGGCAGTGGCCAGGGGCTTCCCCCAGGCACAGTCAGACATTCCCAGCAGAGGACCCTTCCAAGCCCCAGTCCATGGACAGGCGCCATGGGTGTGAGGAACGTATGGCTTTGGGGACAGCGCTAACATTCATTCCGTCACCTTTCCCATAAACAAGAAATTCCTTAGCATTGTCGGGAGCCAATGAAACACGGGTAGCGGGGATGTCCTCACCTCTTTCCAGCTGTTGTCTTGCTTCTCCAGGTCTGAGTGCTTCAGGACCCAGGGTTCGGCAGCCTTTTGCAGCTGAGAAAGGGAAAGAGTGTGGGTGGGTGAGTGGACAGGGCTACTCGGAGCAGGGCGACTCTGCAGGTTCAACTCTATAGCCCTCATAATCCACACCATGGCCTGGCATTAGCTTCTCAGTACGTAGCAGTTCTGAGCCCCCACAGGTGGATTTGGAAAACAGTAAATAACACGCAGCTACTGGCAGGCATCTTCCTGACATGGCTAGCAGAGTTAACAGTCGCTACTTAGCCTATGGTAGAGTTCCTAGAACGGCTAGGCATAAAAGCAATCGCTATTGCACGTAAGGGACCATGCTGCCATCTGCCATCAAGGGCCAGTCGTCAGTAACAATCCACTACTTCCTGCTGAGGCCTGAGGCGACCCTGGGAGCACCAGCGCTTCCAGAGTGTCCATCTGCATGTGTCCATCAGTTCATTTAATCCTCAAAGCGACCACAGGAGCAGGCGTGACTGTGATTACTTCCACATCACAGGTGAGAGGATAAAGACAAAAGGAAGGGACTGGCCCAGATGTGCACAGCTGCACTAGCAGCTGGGATTCCAAGCACTGCACCATCACTTAGCTGGAATTCCTCCTTGGCTTTACAACTGACTCCCACAAGGGGTGATTCACCCCACTTTTCCCAAGGCTTTCCCAGTGTTAGTAAGGTTTATGTCCCCCAAACCTTGTAGTTCTGAAAAAGCAAGAAAGTTCTGCCTAGGACTGTTCCAAGGGTAAAGTGGGAGTCCTAAGCAAAGCCAGGACGGGAGGTCACCTGTTTGCACTTGAACCTATGACTCAAATTTTGCTTCGGAAGCCAAATAAAATGGGGGTGGGTAGGGTACCAAAGTCAACTCAACACGAATGAACAGAAACAGAAATTTAGATGAAGATGCTAAACCAAGGCCCAGGCAGGGGGCCAAGGAACACTGTGCCACTCCGGTAACTAGCTCTTTTATTCCCATGGTTGCCCTGAGGGATGAGAAGGTCAAGCAGCCATCTTCCTTGTGCAGACAAAGCCGGGAGATCAGAGGGTGACTTTACTAGGCTGGGCCTTCTGATCAGGAGCCCCTTTATGTCTGAATGAAAATGCCCCCAGAGGCTCATTGGGAGTGGCACTATTAGAAGGTGTGGCCTTGTTTGAGTAGATGTGGCCATATTAGAGGAAGTGTGTCACTGGGGGTTGGTTTTGAGGTTTCAAATGCTCAAGTCAAGCCCACTGTCATTCTCTATTCCTGTTGCCTTTGGATCAGTATATAGAACTCTCAGCTACTTCTCCAGCACCATGTCTACCTGTGAGCCACCAGACTTCCCACCATGATGATAACGGACTGAATCTACTAGCCAGCCTCAATTAAATGTTTTCCTTTACAGGAGGTGCAGTGATAACGGTGTCTCTTCACAGCAATAGAACACTGACTAAGACACCTTCCTGCTGCTCTGCAGGCTGTTTGACTAGGCTGGTTCACCCGGAGCGCAGCTAATACAGATGTGAGCACTGATGCCGGTGATCCTAGCTCTGGAGAGGCTGAAGAAGGAGAACCGAGCATTCCAGGCTGGTCTGGGACAACTACTAAGTGAGGAACACAGACTCTCAGTCTCAAAACAAACAATAAAGCAAAAAAGGAAGAAAAGTAGGAAGGGAGGAAGGGGGAAGAAAATACGAGAAAGATGATGCAACTTTGGGTGTCCTGGTTTGACTGAGGGAAGCAGGAGATCAGAACTAGGAAGTCAGAAAATTCCACACAAGGTCCCTGCTGGGAAACGAAGTGCAGGACTCACTCAGTACCTATGAGCCAAGAGGTCCCAGCTGTGTATCTGCTGATACCCCACTAAACATGGCATGGATTTGGCTTAATGATTCCAAACCATTAGGAAATAATGTGACAAGAAGGGATCGTTCCACAGGCAGAAGTGGCCGGATGAGGCAAAGGGCGCTCTGCCCAGCGTTCCACACACCACAGGGAGCGTGCTTTCATTTGTGGGTGGACCAGCCTGAATCTGCCACACAGACACCAAGGAAACTGGACCCTTAGGAGTGCGACCCTGGAAAAAACCCAGTCCCTGGCAAGAGGTCAGCTCATGCCCGATGTTGGGGCTGGAGAGACGGCTCAGCCATTAAAAGCACTTGCTGCCTTTCCGGAGGACTCAGGCTCAGTTTCCAGCACCCGCATGGCAGCTCACAACCATCTGTAACTCCAGTTCCAAGAATCCCAATACCCTCTTCTGGCCTGAGGGCATCAGGCATGAACATGGCACATATATATACATGCAAGCAAACCACTCATTCACATGAAACAAAAATAAATATTAAAAAAAAATCTGCCAGATGTGAGGTTTCTGCCATGTTTCTGTACAGTTAAGCAGGGCATTTTGGGTTATTTTGCTAATCTGCAAAGTAACCTTCCAGGGTTGGGAGGGTTGGAGACTGCATTCTGAGAAGACATACAAAGAAGGTAACTCCTAGAAAGATGCTCGTCCTGGTCAGGTGAGTCCAAAGACAGGGAGTCAAGGAAGCTGGCAAGGAAAAACCAAAGCAGGTCTGCATGCTGCTTTGGTTATGGTGGGGGTGGGGGTGGACACGGGACAAGCACTATATGATATAACAATGGATGACAATGGGAAAACCCCTGAGGCCAGTCACCTTTTGACTGGCTATACACGTGAGTGCCCTTTGAACGCAGTATTCTAATACTGGGCATACATGTACACGTGTAATACTGTGCATACATGTACACATGTAATACTGTGTATACATGTACACGTGTAATAGTATGTACACGTGTAATACTGCGTACACATGTACACATGTAATACTGCGTACGCATGTACATGTACAGATCACACTAGAGGACTACTTTCTGCCTGTTTGGTTTTTGAGATAGGGTTCCTTATAAACCAGGCTGGCTCCAAACTCACTAGGTAGCTGAGGATGATGACCATGAACCTCTAATTCTCCTGCCTTTACCTCTCAAAGGGTTATAGGCACGAGCTACCATGCTTGGTTCCTGTGATGCTGGGAATCCGGCCCAGGGTTTCATGCATGCTAGGCAGGTGCTCTACCAATTGAGAGACCTTGCCAGCTCCCCAATGAAAACATGGGACCTAGATTTTTGTGTGGAATAATGAATGGTGGAGTCAGGCAGCAGTTAAACTGAATGAGGCTCTCCACGGGAGAGGCGAGTGTGCACACAGGAACATGATGACTCAATTAAACCAAACCAAACAAACAGAAAACTCTCCACAGGTGTAGACCTACATAGCAAAAACGGAGGAAGCCAGACTGAGTGTGTATTTTGTGATGTTCTAGCTCTTGGTTTCCCTCTCTTGGTCAGAGACTGCAGTTTTCCTATGGGAAGTGCTCTTGGCTCTTCCCTTTTGGGTCCTCGTTTTGATAGGCCCTAATAATGGGCTTATCACTTGACGCCTGGCCAATGTGAACTTGCGGGGAAAAAATGTTCTTATTGCAACTGTTAAGCTGTAAGATGAGCAGGACATGGCGGCCTTACGTGAGGCTGGCATGTGTAAGAGCGGAGCGAGCAGAGGGGGGCCTGAAAGACGGGGGCAAAGGCAATGGCTTGGCTCTCGCCTCTCTCTGAGCGCTTCTGCTGCCTGAGCGCCTGGATCCCTCCTCACCTGACTGAGGCGGTTCTGCAGCTCCTTCACCTGCTGCTCCACCTGCTGCTTCTCGCCCTGCAGCCGCTCCACGAGCTGCAGCTTCTCCTGGCTCCAGTGGCGCTCGCTCATCTGCAGCTGCCGCGTCAGCTCCATGACGGCGCTGTAGGACTCGGCCAGGAGGTGCTGCTGCTCTTCGCGCTCCCTCTGCAGTGCAGCCTTCCAGTCAGGCCCGGGCCTCTCGCTGGCGCCCTTCCCAGCCTTCGGCTCCATCTGCAGGAAGATGCATCAGCTGAGCAGTGGCAGGGGACAATGGCTCCCCACCATACCAGGTAGGCTTTGGAGACTCTCCACGCTGATTCTCCTTTCAACAGAGCTGTGGACCCCTTCTGCATACAAGCCAGACCCTGCATCTCATGCCTTTAAGCCTCTGTAAGCATTCCACATCTGGCTACAATAGGCAGAGCCTCTAGCTATTGATAACCATGCTATTTATCAACTTTTTTTTTCTTCTTGGTTTTCAAGACAGTGTTTCTCTGTAAAGCCCTGGCTGTCCTAGGACTCACTTTGTAGACCAGGCTGGCCTCAAACTCACAGATATCCACCTGCTTCTGCCTCTGCCTCCCGAGTGCTGGGATTAAAAGCGTTCGCCACCACCGCCTGGCCATACCTCCTCATTTATCTGTATTAATAACCCTGCCTCTGTCTCTATGCTCTATTCATCTACAAAACAAATAGGCTAAGCTTCCAGAGCAGTGTGGTTTCCCCAGCAGAGAGCCCAGATCACCCAGCCCTAGCTTTCTGTATATCCTTGTGTCCGTCTGTCTTTTCTTCATTCCCTTACATCCTAGTCAGGTCCATCCCGGAGCCATGCTGGATGTGGCATGCAGGCAGGTATGGAAGCATGCTGCATGCCCACAGTGTAGCCTAGGATCCTGTCAATCTCTCTGGGTCACAGCTGAAGTCTAAGGAGTCCTGTGTATCCAAGAGCACTGCTTAGTACCCGCCTCCCCCATCTGATGGTCTAGATCTGGGCTGGGAACAAGGAAGGAGATGTGCCCAAGAAGCGAGGCGGCTCACCTGCGAGGCATGGCCCTTGAGCTCTGCCCGCTCCGTCTCCCACGTGGCCTTGGCCTTGGCGAATTGCTGCTGAAGTTCAGTCAGACCCCGACGCTCGTCCCGGAGCAGCCAGCACAGCTCCTTCAGTGTGACCTTCATGTCAGCCAGGGTCTTGATGTACTCGTTAGGCTACAGACAGAGCAAGGCCTGGTCAAGAACTATGTGAAGGCAGGGAGGGCAGCCCTGCTACTGCTGACTCAGCCGGCAGTCCAGCTAGGGCCTTCCTGGTCTCAGTCTTGGGACAGCCGAGCTGAGCAACTATGAATTGTTCCAGGAGCAGCTGTTCTGCTCAGATGCAGAGAAACAACCTTCCCCAGGCTTTGCAGGCCCCAAGCTGCAGGTCTCTAACCTCTCAAACAGTATCCCCTTTTCCTGGTTCCTCACACACTGCTCACCCATACCCCAGCTCACTGTAGAACCCTGGGAGGCTGACTCCATGGCTCCTCTGACCTGTGGCTTGATTTGACAGTTCTTCCTTAAGTCTAGACTACAGGGGTCTCTCTTCATGTAACCCTAGCCTAGTTGGTAGCCTTCCCCTCTCCCAGGGTCACACTGGTCACAGACCCTCCAGTACACTGTGCCACACCTCTGTACCCACAGTCCTCTTGCTTCGATATGGCCTGTCGTCCTTTCTGAACTCGACAAGGCTATTCACCCATGTGACGCTTCTCTGTGAAATTCTTCTCTGTACAACAAACTTACTGCTCTCCTTCCTGTGACTTCAAGTTTATCTGGCCTTCTGTCACTACCCTGGGATGACTCACGTTCCCTAGCCCTGAGCAACTGGTGGGCCGGTTCCCAGTCAATAACCATCTGCAGATCCTGTGTCCCATCAGGGCTGTGTGAGAACACAGCAGGAAGTGATCGCTAACGGATGAGGTGCACATGAACAGAACCAGAAGGGGCTGAACACACCGTGTTCTGGGTCCAGCTGTCCCCTGTGCAGGCCTTGTTATCCGAGTGCTGGGCGTTCATCTCTTCTTCCTCCATCAGCAGATACAGTTCCTTCATGCTGTTCACCTGGTTTGAGAAACCACATTCAATGGGCTCAGCCTTCAGGGCACAGGGAAACTGGCAAGCAGGCAGTCAGACAGAAAGGGGATGGCACAGCCATGCAGAAGGACAAGCGTCTCAAGATGAGCGAAAGCCCGTCACTGACTTCCCACATCTTAACTGTGACCCTCCCTCTACCCTGGCACTGTTCAGACAGAGAGGCAGAACTCACACCCCATGCCTCCTTGTTCCCGCTCCGGGATGGGGCTCAGCTCAGCCGTACCTCCAGGAAGTCATCCTCCTCGTGGGGCAGAACCTTGCCCTGCCGCCAGCGCTTCAGGAACCACCTGAGCTTCATGAAGAGCAGCAGGAAGTTGTGCTTGAACTGCTGGGATTCCTGCACCAGTATGTTCTTCTCCTGGCTCCAGAATTTCTGCTCCAGCCTCCTTTGGAGGCTCAGACTCTGCAGCTCGAACTCCCGCCTCAGCAGCGCTCTCTGCTGGTCTTCTTTCAGCTGTCAGGATGGGAGGGAACACAGGAAGCCCCAGCTGATTCCAGATCCAGATCACGGGCAGAGGGGAACAGTAATGGCAAGTGCCTACTTGTCCCTGCCAGCGCTTCTACCGATAGCAGCCCATCGTACCCAGGGATTTCTTTCTATGCTTGGGACAGAGCCCAGAGACTCCCACATTCTGGGCAAGTGGTTGGCCACAGAGCTTCACCACGACCTCTGTATCTTCAGTCCTGGGAGAAGTTGTACAGGTGAAAATAAAATGTGGTACAAACCCACCTGGACTACTTTCTGGTTGAAGCTGTCAGCCTCCTCTTTCCGGAGCTGCCGCTCCTGGGACAACTGCTCTTGCAATCCCCGGAGGCTGTCGTGAGCCTCGGCCAGAACCAGCTGGAGCTCCTTGATCTGCAGTGGGGTGGGGGCCAGACCAGGAGTGGGGAGAGGACACAGGCTGTGGTCAAAGAACGGCAGTAGCAGGTAATCAACAAGAAGACGGACCCACTGTCCTCTAGTAGGCACAACACGGTCCTTGCCTCAAGAGGGTCATCGAGACAGTTAAATGAAGCCGTACGCGTCAAACCCTCCACGCTATAATTTTTTAACATTTCTAGCTTGCAATTTTACAGGGAAAACGTACTGTGGAAACTAAATTTGACTCACAAAGTTGTTCATGGTCTCTTTGATTGATTCACTTATTTTTGACTCAGCCTCACTATTTTTCACAGGCTGTCTCAAACTCCTGGGCTCCAGGCATCCTCCGGCTCTAGTCTCCCAAGAAGCTGGGGCTACAGGTGCTCGCCACCACATGCCACTTCATTGTTTATAATTAAAAATTTAGAAGCTTCTTTGTCAAAAGTCAGGTGTCCATAGGCGTGTGGATCTACGTCTGGGTCTTCGATTCCGTTGATCTGCCTGCCTGTTTTTATTACTATAGCTCTGTAGTAGAGCTTGAAATCAGGGACGGTGATACCCCTGGAAGTTCTTTTATTGTACAGGATTGTTTCTCATATGAAGTTCTTTCAAGGTCTGTAAAGAATTGTGTTGGAATTCTGATAGGGATTGCATTGAATCTGTAGATTGCTTTTGGTAAGATGGATATTTTACTAAGTTAATCCTACCCATTCAGGAGCATGGGAGATCTTTCCATACACAGAGGGAAAAAAAGTCAACATAACGATGCTTAACGATATTCTGCTATATTCATAGGTTGGTGGCTACCCTGATTGTCATCAGAGAGCCTTCATCCAGCAACTGATGGAAACAGACATAGAGACCTACAGCCAAGCATTGGGTTGAGCTCAGGGAATCCTGCTGAAAAGAGAGAGAAGGGTTGTGCAGCGGGGGGAGGGGGTAAGGGGGGTCAAGTACATCACAAGGAAAGCACATAAACAACTAACCTGGGCTCATGGAAGTTCACAGGGTCTGGACAGCAACCAGGGAGCCTGCATGGTACCAACCTAGGCCCTCTACATATGTGTGATACTTGTGTAGCTTGGTCTACTTGTGGACTCCTAGTAGTGGGAGCAGGGGCTGTCCCTAACGTTTTGGCTGACTTTGGGGAACCTATTCCTCATACTGGGTTGCCTTGCCTTAATACAAGGGGAGGGGCTTAATTCTACCACAGCTTAATATGCCATGCTTTGTTGATATCTATGGGAGGCCTGCCCCTTTCTGAACAGAAACAGTAGTAGATTAGGGGTGGGGTGGGGTGGAAGGGAGGTGGAGGGAGAGAATGGAAGGAGAGGAGGAAGGGAAAACTGGTTGGGATGTAAAAATAAATGAATAAATTTAATTAATATAAAAATTTTAGAAGCAATTTAAATAATAATAAATAATGAAATTTAAAATGTGTTTAATGGGTCTACTACATATGCAAAAATCCACTCGGCTGTATACTTACAGATGCTGTGTTTGTATGTCATTACAGAACAGAAACACGTCAGCTGTCGACATGGTTGGTTACATAATGGTCTTAACTTTCTTTATAATCTTTATGTACTGATGTCTGAGGATGCAATTGTACTTACTATGGCTTACAACAACTATGGAACAAGACCATTAAAAAAAAAGTCATCCAAATTTTCCAATTTGTGGGGGAAATGATGCTTTAAAAGCATTTAGAACTTAAATAGGCAAAGCTGAGGCGTTCTTGGCCTGGCAGGATGGCTCAGCAGATGAAGGCTCTTGCAGACCAGCATCAGGACCTGAGTTTGACTCCTGGGACCCACATGGTGGGAGGAGAGAACGACCCCTACAAGCTGTCCTCTGACTTAGACATGCACGGTGCATGTACAGCAGAACGTGCAGCACAATGTGCACATGCGCACCCACACACTAAATAAATACATACGTGTAAAACGTGTTTTAAAACCTCTTCTTTCCTAAGTCCAGACAGAGACTAGAAGGGAACATAGAAGGAACTTCCTGGGGTCCGTTTATGGATATAGATGCTAATTACAAAACAGGAAGATCATGAGCTTGAGGGCAGTGAGGGCTACAAAGCAAGACCCTGTCTCAAAGCACCACGGGAGCAAAGGACTCAGTCTGTACAAAGCCTTAAGCACCTATTCGTCTTCCCTTCTCCCTCTCTGTTCCTTCCCTACCTTTGTGTGCATGCACGTGTGTGTTCATGCTGGGGTTGGACTCAAGGCCCCACCCATGCTAAGCAAGTGCTTCATCACTGAGCCACAGCCCCATCCCACTGACACTTTGTTGTTAGACTCCAGGAACAAAAAGTTTTAGCCAGATGAAATGAAGTGGTGCATGGGGCAGGAGGATCACCTGAGCCTGTGAGTTTGAGACCAGCCTAAGCAACACTATGAGACTCCATCTCGGAAAAAAAAAAAAAAAAAAAGAACACTATTAAGTCTTTCTGGTAATGGGAATGTTTATTCTAACACATTGTGCAGGAAGAGGAAAATGGAAATGGTCCCGGGCATGGCAGGTGTCCTGCTGTGAAAAAATTATGTGGCCAATAATATGATAACTTGGCACTGTCTCTGCAAGGATTTGAGGCATGTCTTGTACACATGCTCTGTATTAAAAATCTCTGCAGAGCTGAGCAAAGTGTCATGTGCCTGTAATCCCAGCACTTAGAAGTTGGAGGCAGGAGGATGCTAAGTCTGAGGTAAGTGTGGTCTACACACCAAGACCCTGGCTCAGCAAACAAAAATCTCTTTATCATCAGGTTGCTACCCTCACACATCCTCCTTGAACTCAGGGTTGGTGCCATGTTTCATGTTTCAGTCATAACTGCTCGGTAAGAATAAAGGGAATTGATTAAATGTGTAAACAAGCTGACACAAACAAGCTTATTTCCTTCTCTGTACCCATCTCCCCACTGGGATCAAAGCTAAGGTCTTCTGCACGGTAAGTACACAGTACTTACCAGTACTGTGCTGGTAAGTCAGTTACATGCCCAGACACCATTTTTCCTTTTTTTTTTTTCTCCTTCCCCTATGACTACTAGAATGTCCAGGCCACCTCAGTTTCCAGGAAGCTTTGGTTTCCGGGGAGCATCCCTGGCTCAAAGTGCAGAGGGAACTTTTCAAGGATCAGAGAACCTTAGAAATTCTACTGATCATAAACATTGTAGGTGGGAAAGCTGGGGTCTCAGGATGTGAAAGTATCTAAGGACTTACCACAGACCAGCAAGTGACATCTTGCTCAGGTCCCCTGAGTCCATGTGACATGTTCTGAGCTCTGTTCTCATCCTCATCCATAGCGGCCAGACTTTCAGCTAAAGCTTTTCATGTATCTACCTGTCAACAACCCTAGGAGGGGCTTTGTTCCTGTAGATCACACCTGACAACCCAGGAGGCGAAGTGCTGTACCCAAGATCTCACAGCCTGCGTGCAGGAGATTCACAACATGAACTCAAAGAGCCTGCATAGAGACCATGGCCTCTCTGCTATATACGTTAGTCATTTTACGATGGCCTCCAGCTCAGCATTTCTCCTGCCTCAGCATCCTGACACTGGGATTACAGGTACACACCATGTCCAGCTACGTTTCCTCTAACTAGACCATGAGGTCAATTCAAATTCCCATTTCCTTTTAAATTTTAATTAATTAATTAGTCTATTTATTTATTTATTACTTTTTGGATTTTAGACAGGGTTTCTCTGTAGCTTTGGCGCTTGTCCTGGAACTCACTCTGTAGACCAGGGTGGCCTTGATCTTACTGTTTCTGATCCATCTGTCTCTGCCTCTAGTGCTGGGATTAAAAGGCATGCACCACCACCGCCCAGCCCTTATTTCCTATTTTTGTTCTGGCTGTCAGGAAGCTTAAAACCAAACAGAATGCCCAAAGCCTATAGCACCATCCTTGAAGGATCACCCTGCTTTTGAGAGAGCCCCAACTAATCTCCTTCAACCCAACCTCCGGCTTAGCCCTCCACCCACCTCAGAGGCATAGGAATCATTATCTTCAGCTCGATAAGGCCTGAAGTTCCGACTGGGGTCAGGCTTGGAGTCCAAGTCACCAGCACGGAAGGCCTCCCGGATCCTCGGCTCCCATTCCAGCAAGTCTCTGAAGTCAGATGGCTAAAGCGAGGGGCACAAGCAGAAGAGAGCCATGGGGAGACGCCCGAGGAGAGCTTCAGAAGGTCCCCACCAGGCCTCAGCTCCATAATAGGGTTGTCCACAAGATAGTGAGGCTCAGATGGATCGGCCTTGCAACCTGGACCCCGTCTTACCAGGGTGCATTCCCGCCACTCAATGACGGCTTGTTGCAAAGCCGAACGCGTGGGCAAGTGAAAACACGAATTTGTGAACGGTTGTTATGCAAAGCCTGCAGAAACAGTTCCACTGCTCTACCCCCTGTGTGAGCCCAGCTCACACTTCAGGACAAGACAAGAAGACTCAACATGGGGTCTGTGCACTCGTTTATAAAGCCATCTTAAGCCTCAAAAGCAAAGCATGAGTTGAAGCTGCTATAGTACACCACGGTGCCATGGACGGAAATCCGCTCTCAGTATGAAAACCAAACCACCCCATACTCTCTGAAGCCCAGCCACGTGGCTCTGCACAGTTCCTTGAATCTACCACCTTCTTTCTTTATGAGCTGAGCGTCTTCAAGAACCAGGTCAAGCTCCTTGTTGATAGAAACTATGTATCTTCCTTTCGGGTCCCTCTTCTGCTTGTCATACCACATTCACAGGCTTGCCATGTTGATTAAGTCTTCCTCACTAGGCAATAAGAACCTTTGGAGTGGGAACCCTATTCCTATCTGGTTCTACCGACCACCACCAATCCTGTGCTGAGCACAAAGGGTAGGAACTAGCAACAAAGTATCCAGCAAATGGACACAGAATACAGTGATCCACAGTAGCTATAACATGGAACAAAAGGAGCAAAAAGCAAGCACAGGAGAGGGCATGTGGAAGAGGTTTAGAAAGAGAGCCTCCAGGACCCAGCTAGACACAAGCACCAAAATGTGGAACTGCAACCAAGAAACTGCAGTTCAATTCTGTGTCATCTTTGTTCATTTTAAAAATTTGCCTTGGGAGTTTTGGGTTGTTTCTGTCTGGGCTGGGGATGGAGCCATTTGCTAAGACAAGTGCCTAACCACTGAGCCACATCCCCACATGGCTGCGGCATGTGATACCTGTACTGAATATCACCAGTCTTCATCCACAGAGGTACTGGCAGGAAGTGGTAAGCAGGAACACAACGTATTCACTTATTTTTTTTTTGTCTTTGCTTCAAACATTTCTGTATTGCTTTTGCAATAATACTTTGCAAATTTATGATGTCTTTGCTATTTTAGTTTTTCTATGTAGCATGTCATAGATATCACGACTAAGCTTCTCAGTCAGGCGGTGGTGGCGCACGCCTTTAATCCCAGCACTAGGGAGGCAGAGGCAGGCGGATCTCTGTGAGTTCGAGACCAGCCTGGTCTACAAGAGCTAGTTCCAGGACAGGCTCCAAAGCCACAGAGAAACCCTGTCTCGAAAAACAAAAAAAAACAAACAAACAAAAAAAAAGACTAAGCTTCTCAAAAACTCATTTAGAAGGCTTAAAAAAACACAAACACAGGGCTGGAGAGATGGCTCAGTGGGTAAGAGCACTGTCTGCTCTTCCAGAGGTCCTGAGTTCAATTCCCAGCAACCACATGGTGGCTCACAACCATCTGTAAAGAGATCTGGCGCCCTCCTCTGGCGTGTGAGTATGAATGGAGGCAGAAAGTTGTATACATAATAAATAAAATCTTAAAAAAAAAAACACAAACACTTGCCTGAAAATTTAAAATTATGGGCTGGCAAGATAGTTTAATGGGTAATGGTACTTGCTACCAAGGCTGACAATTTGAACTGATCTCCAGGACCATCTGAGAACTGACTCCTGTGGCCAGTACATGTCCACAATGGCTTCCCCTAACATATCCTCCGCAAAGAAGTGTAATAAAAATTTTAGTTATAAACGAGATAAGAAAACAAGGGGCAGGGTGGCTGCCCTGGAGAAACGGCCCAATGATTAAGAGCTCTTGATGCTCTTCGAGAGGACCGAGGTCAGTTCCTAACACTCACTAAGGAGCTTGCAACCTCCTGCAACTCTAGCTCCGGAGGCTCCAGCACCTTCCTCTGACGTCTGTGGACACCTATACACAGGTGACATATGTATACACATATGCACACATGTACATTTTCAAAGATGTTTTAAAAAGAGGGGGCCAGGGATGCGGCTCAATGGTAGAGTACTTGCCTAGCATGTATGAGGCCCTGGGTTCTGTCCCCAGCACTGGAAGAGGAGATGGGAGGGGAGAGAAGGGGGAAAGGGGCAATCTAGCAAGAACAGAGGACCTCAGACTCAACCTCCATCAGCAGTAAGTGCCTGCTTGGCAGTTATTCACTGAACCAATAGGCTTATTTTATACTTAGTAAGTTGGAATAAATACATTTTTTACTACCTGTTACAGCAAATAGCAGACCAAGTGAACAAAGCCAGGTACTGCTGTGTTTGGTTTGCATAATTCCACTTATATAAAGTTCAAAAATGGATAAAACTAGGCGATTGTCCTGGGAAGCAGGGATAGTGCCCAACAGGGAGATTGATCAGGGCAGCCTTGTGGCTGGTCATGTTCTGGATGATAAACACATGCCTGTTAATGGCAGGCAAGTTGTAAAATTGTTTGTATACGTGGATTTGCATCCTTCTCTGTCCTGTGCCTGTTCCAACACAAAGTTCGTATGTAATAAAAGTAACAGGACCCTGCCCTGGGCATCTTACCTGGAAGTCGGAGCCAAGGTCTTTGGCCAGTATGATCTCCTTAGAGGGCCCCTGGGAGCCCAAGGTGGGTAGCGCAGGGAAGGACTCTGGCTGCTCCTTGCCAGAGCTCCCCAAGGCCACATCCACCTTGCGTGTGAAAGTGTTCAGTTCCTGCTGCAGCACGCTCAGCCGCACCAGGATGGCATGGATGAGCTTGGCATCCCTGGGGCCCTCGCTGTTATCAGGCGCTTCGTGCAACCGCAAGTCTGCACACTCGTTGTCCAGGCACAGGCGGAGGCCAACCGAGAAGCCATTGGCATCAGCCACCAGGACATCGATGGCCTTGCTGACCAGGGCTGCCTGCTCCCTCAGCCCAGGCAGCGCCTCAGCCTCGCGGGCCCTGCAGAGCCGGGCAGTGTGGGGCTCCAGCGCCTCGCCCAGAGGGGCAGGCACGCACTGTGCGGAGTCCCCGGCCTCAGCGTCTGTCTCCAGCATGGGGCGTGTGCTCTGGCAGGAGGCCAGGTCGCAGCGCTGCAGGTTGGAGAGGAGAACGCGGTTCTCATACTGCAGCTTCTTAACCTTGCCACTGAGCTCGCCGATCTGCAGTTTGGCAGCTGCTAGCTCCTCCTGCGAGGGCTCGCTGAGCACCGAGCAGCTGTCCTCCGACAGCGTCACGTCCAGCTCGTGCTCAGACCGGTATTTGGCCAGCTCATTCAGCAGCAACTTGTTCTGGTCTTCTAGCTCCGCCGAGGAGCGCCTCAGCAGTTCTGCCTCCTCTTCCACGAACTGCAGGTGGCGCCGCAACTCGGCCAGGCTCTCCCCGCACTCACCACCACCAAGAGCAGAGAAAGCCAGTCGGGCCTCGGGGCCACCGCCGCCCCCATGGTCCTTCATGTCATCCATCTCGGCCCGGAGGCCCCGGTTCTCTACCTCCAGCTCCACAATGCGCCTGCTCAGGAGGTTGGCCTCCTCCTCCACCAGCTTTAGGTGCACCTTCAGCTCTGTCTCACGGGAGTGCGGAGCATCAGCCAGCTCTTCAGCGGACAGGGCTGCGTCCAGGTCCCCATAGAGGGAGCGGTATTTGAGCAGCTCCTCCTTCATGCTGTCGTTCTCCTTGGCCAGCTTGGTGAGCTTCTTGCACATGAGGGCCGACTCCTCCTTTGCGAAATGCAGCTGGCATTTCAGATCTGCGCTGTCCTCCTGCGGCCCAATGGACACGGAGACAGACAGCATTAAGGAAGGTTATTGTCAGCTCGGATCCAGCCACAGCATTCTGGGGTGCACTGACTATGTCTGAGAACACAGGGGTGAATCGAGGCCTAGAGGCCACAGGAAGCAGAGCTGGGGGAGGGGGGCAACGAGATGACATTGATATTGAGAGGCCAGGGCACACTGCCTACAATCTCAGAGACTTGGAGCCAGTGACATTATGATTGACTATGTACATTCCTGATAGAACTGTCCCATCTGTAAAAGGGACAGAAACCGTTCCTCTCCCACACGATGACTGTTAAATGGGAAAACGTACTAAAAGTGCCTGGCACCCTGGCTGTTAACAGGATTCTGTGCCTGGCCCGTGCAAAACATGATGCTTTTTATCTAATTCTTACAACAAACCCACAGAACAGGAACAGATGAGGAAACAGATGAGAAAGTTGACGTGATTTGTCTCAGTCGGACAGCAATCAAGCTGCAGAGTCCAAGTTCAAGGTCTCTGGCCCTGAACCTTGTGTTTAGTTGTCCCTATGCTGGGTAAGCAATCTGCGGGTCCAGGAGTGTCTAAGTATGGGTTCAGAGTGGGCTTGGGGGAAGGAAAATGCCGAGATTCAAGAAACACGCAGGGGAAGAAAACGCACGGGGAGACAGGCTGGGGGTGTGTGTGTGTTAGGGACTTCTGGGGACTACCCAGGACGCTCAAAGTTGGTCTGGGCTTCCAAACTACAGGCAGGGTGCGTGAGGGATGCTGAGGAAATACCTGTGCAGTGGGCTTCTTATCTGTCTTCCCCAGAGATCGGGTTCCTCTTTTCTTCAAGGAATGCTAAGAGGAAAGAAGAAGCCAAACTGAAAGATCACGAAGATGACGCACATCCAAAGAGGTGTCCCCAAACGGCCACACTGAGAGCCCCAACCCAGCCTGTATGTGTTAGCCAGAGCCCAAGGCTGAGCCAGGGATCACTGCGTGATCTGCACGGGGCAGACAGACTGGAGGAAGTAACTAAATACCCTGCCGGGGGCTCCTTCCCATGGCACCCTCTCCAGCCGCTGTCATCCCTGTCATCCCGTTGGCTGGAAATTGGAATTTGTGCTCTTGTAGTCTTTGTTGTTGTGGTTTTGGGCTCCCCCCCCCAGAATATAATATAATTACATCATTTTTCTTCCTTCCTTCCTTCCCTCCTACCTCCCCTCATTCAAATTCATGGCCTCTTCCTTCAAGTGTGGCTACACATGTGTGTGTTCCTAAATACATAAACACAGCCTCTCGTTCCAGATGTCACTGGTATGTGTGTTTTCATGGCTGACACTTGGTTGTCTTTCGTTGGCTCATTGGAGATTTCTTGAGTACACTCGAGGTGCAGAGAAGATGGCACTGAACCAGACAAATGAGCTATCCAGAGGATGCCGTTTCCTCCTGCTTCAGGACCAAGAGGTTCGTTCCCCCCAGAAAAGACCTCCAAGCTGAGGGCTGTTCTTGGTGGTGCTCACTGGCTAAGGGGAGCACCTGAGGTGCTCTCCCTGGGTGGAACCCACATCTAAAGACTAGCCCAGGTCCACGTGCCCCACCCCCAAAGGGCCACTAACTAGCTCGACTTGATGCCATCTCTGTGATTCAGTTTCTATTTCTGCCTCACTCCCTGCCACAGCCAAAGGGGCTCTTCCCTAAAACTCTGCATGCAAATCTCCTTCTCACAGGAAGTGACATTTTGAAGGACTTTGAACACAGAATGAATACTAATGATCAAAATGTGGGTGCAAAACTAGAAACAGCACAGGAGTCTCAAAAATGGTCACGGGAGACTAACAAGCAAAGGTCCACACACCCAGAAGCGCTGCAGATAGGGGAATTGATACTTTTGATCACACAGGCAAACACTACGCAGATTAAAGAGAACAAACCATCTTGGTCCCAGCACAGTTCAGTGGTAGAAAATTGGCTTAATGTGTCCCAAGCCCTGGGTTTCGTCTCCAGAAACACACACACACACACACACACACACACAGAAGATAAACAATGAACTGGTGAGATCTTCAATAGGAGACGGGTTAGGAATACAAGAGCACGGGCACTCAGACCCAGGGGGCAGGCCTAGAATTCCAGCTACTCAGGAGCTTGAGGCAGGGGAATCATAAATTCAAGTCCTTCTGTGCAACAGATTAGGACCTTGCCTAAAAAAAACAAAACAAAAAAAAAAAAAACAAAAACAGCAAATACTGGGGGGTACTATTCAATGGGAGAGAGCTTGTCCACTGTGCATGGGGTTCTAGGTTCCATCCCCAGTCAGGGAGGAAGAAAGTTTACAGAAGAAAGGCAAATTGATCTTAACCCTGGAAAGTTCTTGGCCCCACTCAGGGCGGAGACGCCCAAAGGAAAGCTACCCTGAGGTACCACTTCTCAATGATCAGACTGGCAAAAGGCCAAACCATCTAACAATACATCCTATTGGTGAGGCTCGAACGAAACAAGAAGGCTCATTTATTGCTGGCAGGAGTGCAAAACGGCACAAGCCCCATGGTGGGGACTTTGAGGAAATGCTACAGTAATCAGTGCTGAAGTTTCTTGTTGTTTAAAGAAGTCATTCAATTAAACGCACGATTCCATTGAACATTTCCTCCCGAGAGAGGGATGATTCATGCCACCAGCCTTTGAAACCACACTTGGGTCGCTTTCAACTTTCTGAGTTGAGCTGCCCACTCGGATTTCTGAAAATGCTTGCCAGTGGCTTTAGATATATGTTCACTCCCAACCTTCATCCCATTCCCCATTACTGCAGGCATGAAAGACAGACTTATTTTTATTTATTTTTATATTATGTGTATGGGTGCCTTGCCTGAATGTTTGCATGTGCATTACATGTGTGAAGTGCCTGAAGAAGCCAGTAGGTCTTCTGAACCAGGGTCGTCTGGAAGAGCATCCAAGGCTCTTAACCATGGAGCATTCTCTAATCCATCAAGGCCTGCTTTACTAAAACTGAGAAATGGGCAGGAACTTGATCAGAGTTCTGTAGCAAAACCAAAGCCAACCTACAACCAGTTCTTGACCTAGCTCCTCATTGCATTCCAAAGGCTTGGTGGGAGAAAATGCGTCTTTGATGAGGGCTAGAGTGGAGCCAACACAGTGGTTTCCAACCTGCATGCAGGGAAGAATTACCTGGGGGATTTAGGAAAACACCAAGGAAAGCCACCACTTCAGAGTCAGGAATACTGGCCTGGGGTAGGCTTCCCCCATCAAAGTTTAAAGTCGCTTCCCAGTAAGCAAGTTGGCCTATAGTGTGTGTGTGTATGTCCATATATGCAAGTATATGTGCACATGTGTGTGTATGCATGCATGTAGAGACTAGAGGACAACCTCAATGTGCACATTTATGTGCATGTATAAGTGTGTGTGTGTGTCTGCATGCATGTGTGTTTGCATGCAGGTGGAGACCAGAGAACTACCTCAGTTGTTCAGACGCTCCCCATCACTTCATCTTGTTTGTTTGAGACAGGATGGTCATTTGCCTGGAACTCACCAATTATGCCAGCCTGGCTGCTAGGAGATCATAGGGTTCTTTCCTGAGTCTGGTGTTTTTACAACTTCTCAGCCCACTCTAGGTCTATCTTAAAAAGTCATTTAGAGAACCTTGAGAACATCAATGAGGCAGGAAGATGGAGACAGGGTTTGGATGCCACCAGCCTGCCAAGAGCAAAGAGTCCCAGAGCTTTCAAAAGAGGACTTTGGGCATGCTGGTCACAGAACAAGCCCTTTCATGAGAGGTAGTGTACCAGGACAAGGAGCCTGGAAGGGAAATCTCAGAGGGAGACTCCTATGGAGTGATGAGGAGGTGCTCTATGTCAGACTCCCTGCCTGAAAGATGGGTCCGCTATCATGGGCTGAGTGGAAACTCCTTTGCCTCCCTAGAAACCCATGAGCTGGGTGACCATAGCACCACCAAGTTCCCCTGATCACAGCAAGGAAGTGAAGGGACCTGGATCTCTAAGCATTCTCAGTTATCACATACATGCCCATGAGATGATGTAAAAAGACTGAGCATGACCAGGGGTTGCGATAGGAGGCTAACAAATAACCACCTAAACACTCTGTGGAGGAATGGACTTAACCTACAAATAAAGCTTCCGACCGAATATGGCCTCCAGATGAGGACTCAAGTAACAAACCATGGCGTGTTCACACAAAAAGAACTTAGTCTTGAAAGGAATGGGGTCCTGATGCTCAGGGCTGCTGGGTGCCTGGAAGAAGCAAGCAAGGCCATCCTGACACGGCAGGCACTGTCGCTGGACAGTTTCCTCTGAGATTAAAACATTTCATATTGCAGGAAGCTCCTTAAGCAAGAATGTAAACAACTCCAAACAGGTTCAGAAGTCCCTGAAACTCACTGGGCTCACTAGGTCCCTCTTCGCCAGAGTCGGCAATAAAAGCTGAGAGCTTCACACAAAGTGAAGCCGAACTCCGAAGACGACTCTCAGAGGAGAAAAGCTGCAAAGACTCTAAGACCAGATCAGCTGCCTGGAAGAATCAGAAACCAGCCGAGCTGCCTGGAAGAGCGTTAGACCAGAGTCACTTGGGAAGGACACACTCCAACCTGCTGAGCTGCCTGCAGGCTGTGCAGTGGGCTCCAGGTTTCCCAGCGTTTGTGAGCTGTCACCTGTGCCGGGGTGGGCCTTAGTGATGCAGCTGCCTGTGAGTCATTTCTGCTTCTATAAGTGGCCCTTCACCCATACTCCTGTAAATAACCCCAATAAAACCTGTTGGCTCACAAAGTTGGGCTTTCGTGGTACCTGTACTTTGGTTTGTCGTGGGATCCCGTCTGGGGTGTCTAGACTTCTGTGTGTGTGTCCTCCCAGGAACAGTTTTGTCATTTAACAGGCATGGAGTATCAGGATTCATTTCCACAAAATGTCCAGGCCAGGCAAATCCCAAATATATGGAAAATATACTAATAGTGTTGAAGAGCTGACGTCGGAGGGACTGGGGAGTGACGGCTAAGAGGTGTGCTCTTAATAAGGTTGGCTTGTTTTTGTTAGGGTGTAACAAAAATGTCCTGGATTTGGAGAACAGGGATGGATACACAATTGTGCAACCCACTACCTGTGCAGTTTAAAAGGGCAAACTCGGGCTAGGGATGTAGCCTAAAGGTAGAGCATTTGGCTGGCGTGGGGTCAAGTCCCAGCACTGCAAATAAAGAAGAGGACAGAGCCATAGTGTGTTAATTACATCTCAATAAAATGTTACTGAATTACCAAAACCGAATACCTGGGCAGCATGGTACGCAGCTACAAATGCAGGAAGAATGCCACAAGTAAAAAACCAGCCTGTCGGCATAGCAAGTTCCAGGCCACCCTGGTGCACACAGTGAGTTCTGGGTGAGCCTGGACTACATAATGAGCCCTATCACAAAACAAAACAGAAACACCCATAAAAAATACAGATGGTGGTGGTGCACACCTTTAATCTCGGCACTGGGGGGCGGGGGGCAGAAGTAGGCAGATCTCTGGGTTTAAGGTCAGTCTGGTCTATAGAGTCAGGCCTATCCAGAGAAACTCTGTCTCCATAAACCAAAACAAACAAAACACCTCCCTCCCCCCCTTAAAAAAAACAACCAGAAAAGCACAGATGTCAAGTAGATAAAGCCAAGGCCCTTCCCCTGCTGCCCCATCCTCCTCCCCTCCCTGAGGGACCTTTGCCAACTGGCGTCCTCTGAAGCGCTTTCTAGACCTTTGGCTCTGTCTTTAAGACTGAAATAGATGGTTCTCTTTGGGACTTTCTTCCCGTCCTATGCTTATCTGATTCTGTGATTTTTATAATAAGCACTTCAGACTGAA